TGATATCCAGAATTTACAAAGAACTAAAACAGATTTACAAGAAAAAACAAGCCCATTCAAAAGTGGGTGAAGGATATGAACAGACACTTTACAAAAGAAGACATATATGAGGCCAACAAACATATGAAAAAATGCTCATCATCACTGGTCATTAAAGGAAATCAAAACTATATTGAGATACCATCTCATGCCAGTTAGAATGGTGATCATTAAAAAAATCTGTAGACAACAGATGCTGGAGGGGATGTGGAGAAATAGGAACACTTTTACACTGTTGGTGGGAGTGTAAATTAGTTCAACCATTGTGGAAGACAGTGTGGCGATTCTTCAAGGACCTAGAAACAGAAATTCCATTTGACCCAGCAATCCTATTACTAGGTATATATCCAAAGGATTATAAATTTGTTCTACTGTAAGGACACATGCATACGAATCTTCACTGCAGCACTGTTTACAATAGCAAAGACCTGGAACCAACCCAAATGCCCATCAATGATAAACTGGACAGGCAAAATGTGGCACATATACACCATGGAATACTATGCAGCCATAAAAAACGATGAGTTCATCTCCTTTGTAGGGACATGGATGAACCTGGAAACCAACATTCTCAGCCAACTAACACAAGAACAGAAAATCAAACACCACATGTTCTCACTCATAGGCGGGTGTTGAACAGTGAGAACACATGGACACAGGGAGGGGAGCATCACACTTGGGGTCTGTTGGAGGGAAACAGGGGAGGGACAGCAGGGGGTGGGGAGTTGGGGAGAGATAGCATGGGGAGAAATGCCAGATATAGGTGATGGGAAGGAAGGCAGCAAATCACACTGCCACGTGTGTACCTATGCAACAATCTTGCATGTTCTTCACATGTACCCCAAAACCTGAAATGCTAAATAAAAATAAAAAATAAAAAAAAGAATTACATTTTTACATTGTGAACCAACGCTTATGCAAACACACACCCGCTCACATGCAAGCATGAACTAAGGTGAATGAAATACTTCCCTACTGTGCACATTGCATCCTGATACTCTGTTCTGTTCCAATTTCTTTTTAAATATTGTTGGTTGCAACTCACCAACCTGATCTGATTTTATGACAAGTTCCAAACAAGTTCTAAGGCAAAGTTTAAAAAACACTGAGGAGCCTGTGTTGGTCAAGGAGCTGTATCTTTTTTTTTTTTTTTTTTTTAATTGGCTATGAAAGTCTCCCTAGTCATGAAGGGAAGATGCAGTTAATGAGGAGTGGGCACTGAGCTAAGGGTTTAGGTCCATGGTGAGACTGCCCCATGGGAGCTCAGAGAAGCCACAGTGGGCTCAGGAGCTCCTGTATCTTCACCAGAAACCTGCTCTGCCCTCTGCCAGTCTCCATGTGGGTTGGAGCTTCACACTGGGCACACTGTCTCAGGCTCTGGAGTTCACAGTAAGTTTCCAGAGCAATTACGAGTCTGGGTTCAGGTATCCTGGGTGCTCCATGCTCAGCTCCGGTCAGCTAGCACTTTGGTCACGTTAATTGCTGTATCCCCAACCCCTAACATAGGGCCTGGCATGAAGCAGATGCATGAGCATGGCCACTGTTGTTTCTATTGGAAACATCATGCATGCACCATAGGCCTGATATGGTTTGGCTATGTCCTCTCCCAAATCTCACCTTGAATGTAAATCCCTACATGTCAAGGACAGGCCAGGTAGAGAAAACTGAATCATGGGGGCAGCTGCCCCCATACTCTCATGGTAGTGAATAAGTCTCATGAGATCAGTTGGTTTAATAAGGAGCAGTTCCCCTGCACAAGCTCTCTTGCCTGCCACCATGTAAGACGTGACTTTGCTCCTCATTTGCCTTCTGCCGTGATTGTCAGGCCTCCCCAGCTATGTGGAACTGTGAGTCAATTAATCCTCTTTCCTTTATAAATTACCCAGTCTCAGTTATGTCTTAATTAGCGGCATGAGAACTAATACAAGGCCCCTCTCCCAGCATCCACCCAGTCCCAGCTCACCCAGGCAATTAAGTTGTTAAGGGAGCTGCTGAGTGGGGATGTCTGTGCCTCATGGGAGGCAAGAAAGAAGTGGCATGGAGCTCAATGTCATAGTAAAGCAAACTTTTTCTTCTGTTAGCATAAGGAAGTTCTCGAAGCAGAAAAAAAGTAGACAAAGCATAAGTCAGTTCAATCAGCCTAAAAATGTCTCATGGAGCCCAGAAAAGGGGAAGAACGAGCTCCAAACTCATGGCCAACACATCCATCTCTCAATCGCTGAGTCCCAGAGGGATTTACTTCTAGTAGGAAATAATTTCATTGACTACTTCCCCCATGCCACCCAATGAAGGTAGATGAGGGCCGGATCCCAGGGCAGGAGAGCACAGACTATGGAATCAGGCATTCTGGGCTGAATTCCAGCTTCTCTCATGCTGACCTTGGGCAATTTTATTTCACTGGTCTGGGCCTCTGTCTACATCTATAAAACGGAGGTAATTCTACTATGGTGCAGGGTTAAACGGAAACCACCCTGCATTGTGCCTTGCACACAGTCAGTGGTGCTGAGTGAACAGTCACTGCTGTTATTACTGCGACAAACACTGGGATCTTACCAAATCTCTGTTATGCCAGTGTTGTTCTGTAACGCATGTGCCAGCTGGGCAGTCCCCTTAGCTGTGATCTGATTCTGGATAAGCCTGAAAGAAGAACAAAACTTGTATAAAAACCATAATACTGGATCAAATCTGCCCCTTTCATGAGGGTGTTGTAAGGGTGAGGTGGGATAAGAGACAAGCTGGTCAGGGAGGAAGCAAGTCCATGTGACTTTGTATCTGGCTAAAAGTGTCTAGATCAGATACACGAAAGGACAGCTTGACATTTTTAAACTTTTCTGTTCAATAGTAAACATATACATATGTAAGTAATGTAATACATGAACGGATGCGTGTGTCTGCATTTTTCATTGCAGAGGCTCATAATCAAAATATCTGGGAGACTACCAATCTGAACAACAAATCCTAAGAAACACATCATCATGGCCGGGCGCGGTGGCTCAAGCCTGTAATCCCAGCACTTTGGGAGGCCGAGGCGGGTGGATCACGAGGTCAAGAGATCGAGACCATCCTGGCCAACATGGTGAAACCCCGTCTCTACTAAAAATACAAAAAATTAGCTGGGCATGGTGGCGCGTGCCTATAATCCCAGCTACTCAGGAGGTTGAGGCAGGAGAATTGCCTGAACCCAGGAGGTGGAGGTTGCGGTGAGTCGAGATCGCGCCATTGCACTCCAGCCTGGGTAACATGAGTGAAACTCCATCTCAAAAAAAAAAAAGAAACACATCATCGTGGGAACAGGAAGTCTGGCATCTCCTTCTAGGTAGCTAGGGAAAGGCAAGGCAGGCTTGAAAGTCAAGAGGCTACCAACATGCAAGAGGGAGGAGGAGAAACAGTTGTGCTGCCATGAAACGGTTCTCATGGGGCTCAGTGGAAAAGCTTTGATAATGGGGCCTCTGAGAATGTACCCCATTGTTCTAGGTGGCAGTGATCCAAATGAAACAAAGGGTTCCGAAATCACTAGGAAGCCACGCCTCTCCTGAAATGCTCCCCTGGGCGGCTATGCTTCTAACCCAGCCAGGAAATAAATGCATCAAGAGGCTGTGGTGTCTCCACTTCATCACAGAGACATTCCCTGCTCCTGGCTGTTTGTAGAATAGGCTCCTGCTAAACCTGACCCTTAGAAATCCTGGCACTGATCCAAGAAGAAAGACCTTACCAAGAAGACAAGGGCCCTATGCTGTCATAAGTGAAGAGGACTCCCTCTTGAGAGGCAGCATCGCAGAGCAGTTGCAGCTCCTCTCAAACCCTCCCTCCCCACTTTTCAGCTACAGAACCTTGAAATATCAACATATCTGTCTGTGCCTCAGTTGTTTCATCTTTAAAATGAGAATAACTATAAGAGTGCCCCCCCCTCCACTGGGTGTGTGAGATTTCAAGGGAGGGTGTGTATGAGGCACAGTGTCCAGGGAAAGGAACTCTTGTCATTGTTACTGCCCAAGCACACAGGACCACTCATGGCTGGGCTGCAGCCAGGACCTGGTATTCCCAGCCACACCTCACAAGGGCTAGGGCCCTTGGGTTCTGTGGCAGAGGCGATGACCTTCCCTTTCAAAAGGGACAAAAATAGAACCTGGTAGTGGGCACTCAGTTCTGCATTCGGTCACACTCTGCTGTTTTCTAGTCACCCCCTAGGCTTTGTTGAAGGCAGGGAAGGCAGCCTCCAACCAAGACTTGGCAGGAGGCCAGGAAGGAGAGCACCTAATGCCCCAAAAAGCTTGGCAGTGTCCAGGCACATCCGCCCACTCGGGCGGCCTTTATTAGGCTGGTGCAGGTTGGGAATGCACAAAGCAGCTGAGACCCTTTCTGGCCCCATCCTAGCTCTACCCTCCCTGGAGCGGCTGGCCTGCACTTAGGGAATGGGCTAAAATAATTCTGCAGGCTAAAACACCAAGGAAAAACAACATGTAGCACAGTCTAATCTTTTTGCTGAAACTGTCAAGGCAAGTCTGAATTAATAAGAAACGCAAAGAACCCAGAATGGTCAAAACAGTCTTGAGAAAGAAGAACAAAGTAGGAGAACTCACACTTTCTGATTTCAACACATACTACAAAGCTACAACAATGGTCCTGGCAGAGGAGAGACATATAAATCAGTGGACCAGAACAGAGAATTCAGAAATAAACCCGTACATTAATGGTCAATTGATTTTTGACAAGGGTGTCAAGGCCATTCAATAGAAAAAGATAATCTGTTCAACACATGGTGCTCTGGTACAGCTGGATAGCCACGTGCAAGAGAACGAGGTTAACTCTCACTTTGTACAAAAATTAACTCAAAATGGATTGCAGACCTAAATGTGAAGGGAAGCAACTATAACACGAGAAAACTTGGGTGGAGATCTTTGTGATCTTGGATTAGGCAATTATTTCTTAGATAAGACACTGAAAGCACAAGCAACCAAAGAAAAAAAAAGATAAATTGGACTTCATGAAAATTAAAAACTACTGGCCGAGTGCAGTGGCTCACGCCTGTAATCCCAGCACTTGGGGAGGCCAAGGCAGGCAGATCACCTGGGGTCAGGAGTTCGAGATCAGCCTGGCCTACATGGTGAAACCCTGTATCTACTAAAAATACAAAATGAGTCAGGGGTGGTGGCTCATGCCTGTAATCGCAACTATTCAGGAGGCTGAGGCAGAAGAATCACTTGAACCCGGAAGGTGGAGGCTGCAGAGAGCTGAGATCATGCCATTGAACTCCAGCCTGGGTGACAAAAGCAAGACTTCATTTCAAAAAAAAAAAATTAAAAACTTTTGTCCTTCAAAGGCCACTATCAAGAAAGAGGGAAAACTCCACAGAAAGAAAGAAAATATTTACAGAGAACCCCTACAACTTAGCAATAAAAAGACAAATAAGCCCAATTTTAAAATGGGCAAAGGATACGGAGACATGTCTCTAAAGAAGCTACATAGACAGCCTGTAGGCACATAAAAATACACTCAACGTTGTTATCAGGGAAATGCAAATCAAAACCACAATATTACTTCACACCCACTGCTATAACTAGATTTAATTTAAAAGATGGACAATAACGAGTGTTGGTAAGGGTGTGGAGAAATTATAACCCACATACATTGCTAGTGAGACTGTAAAATAGGACATCCACTTTAGAAAACTGTTTGATGGCTCCTCAGAAAGTTACAGAATTCCTATATGACCCAGCAATTCTATTCCCAGGTATATTCCCAAAAGAGATGAAAACATATGTTCATCCAAAAGCATGTACAGAAGTGTTCACAATAGTATTATGCATAATAGTGAAAAAGTAGAAACAACTCAATTGTCCCATCAACTGATTAATAAACTGTGAAATAGCCTTAGAGTGAGTTATCATTTAGCCATAAAAAGGAATGAAACATGCTAGAACACAGAGACAAAAGGTCACATATTGCTTGATTCCATTTATATGAAATGCCCAGAGTAGGCAAATCCATAGAGACAGAAAGTGGATTAGCAGTTGCTGGGGTCTGGGAAGGAGGATAGGAGTGACTAATGGATACAGGGGCTTTCTGGAGTGGGGAGGGGTAGTGAAAACATTCGAGAATTAGATGGTGATGATTGCACTAAAAACCTCTGAATTGTACACTTTAAGAGAGTGAATTTTACAGTATGCAAATCTTATCTCAAAAAATACTTTGGAAAAGTAGCACAGTGTGAAATTCTAAGGCTGAGTTACCTACCATAAATGCTTTAACGTCTGGTTGACTTTCAACATTTCTGCCAAACTCTCTGCCACTTCATCATTGAGTTCATTTTCGGTCAGCCTAGGGGAAAAAAAAAGGAAGTATTTACTCAAGAGAGCCTACTTGGCAGATGCTGTTTTAGAGTTCACAGGAGTGGGAGCCCAGCCCAAGGCTCTCCAGCTACATAGCTGATCAGTTGCTGACAACTCAAGCCCAGCCTCTCAGCCCTACAGATCAATGGGACTCATTTCTAATGCAAACCTGCACCAGAGCTCCTATTTCTTAGCCTGGCTGCCTGCAGAGAAGGCCACCCTACCTCTCCACCTTTGCTGAGCCCTCAGATTTCATGGAAGATCGTGCACCATAGAAAACAAAAGGCCAATGGCCTGCTTCTCGGGTCTCCTCTAGTCTCGGGATCCCTTGAAGACCACTGACAATGTGTTATCCAAGTCAGTTTGAAGACCTGAAACAGCCACCAACTGCACGTTAAGATGTGGTCAGTACTTTGCTCTGAGTTAACTGGTGAGGGACCCAAGTTAAGTGACTGAAAGTTCAGGAAGGCTCTCAGTGGTTCTTAAAACCAGAAGTGGATAAAGCACCAAAGCTTCTCAGTGTAAACAGGGTAGGACGCACTTGTGCCAGTGGATGAAAGAATATTTTTAAAAAAATCATTCCTCGAAGGGCAGTTTGGAGGTGCCTGTCCAAAATTTAAATGTGTTTCACTTTAAGACAATTAGACTTCTAGAAATTTACACTGCAGTGTGCAAAAGTATACATGCAAAGCTTTATACATTGCAGCATACACTGTGGTATTATCTATCCTAATGTAAAATCTGAACAAGTTTAAATCAGAAAAAACTGGTGAAATACATTGTGACATCTATTCAATGTTCCATTGTGCAGCTCTTAGGGAGAATGAGGTAGAATAAGGAGGGAGAAGAGCACAGCATTGACACCTGCTCCGGACTCAACCTGGGCAGGTTTGTATCACTCACGAGCAGGGTGATCTTGGGCAAGGGGCTTAAGTTCTTTGGGTCTGAGTTTCCTCACTGGTGAATGTGAATATTACTAATATAGATTGTATAGGGTGGTTGTGAGGCTGAGCGAGTTAAAAGGTGTAGAATAACAGATGGCATGCAGTCAGCACTTGAGGGCTTCTAGGTGTTGCCATGACTGCTATCCATGTGATTTCACTCTCCATGGGGTACCTAGCCATGTCCAGAGGCATTTTTGATCCTCACCACCGGGAGGTACAGGGCAGAGATGCTCCTAAACCTTCTACGATGCACAGGATGGCCCTCCCATAACGAGGACTCACTTGGACCAAAATGATTCTCAATCAACAGCGTCAAGATTGAGAAACCCTAAAAGGGACATGTAAGTTATATGCAATCCATGATTAAGATATTTTTAGGGCCACTTGTTGAATGCTGTTCTATTTTGCATATCTTTGAACATACATAGAACAAAAGGCTAGAAAGGAAAGGTTATTTTTGGAAAACACGAAGGGAGGTACTTTTACTTCCTCCTTTTAAGACTTTAGTGTCTTACATTTTTTCCAATAGCCATATATGACTTTTCAAAATGTTAAATGATTTCTTGAGGGGAAATAATTTAAGATGCACTTACTGGCCAGCAGGCCTAGTGTCAGAACTCTCATAAAGATGACATTGTCATTCTCGGTAACTAATTTAGCAAGATCAAATGAGCACTGGCCTATAAGTAGCTAATAGGGAGAAGTG